TAAAAATTTCAAGTTATACTATAGAACAATAGTAATAAAATGCATATGTTGGCATTAAAAACAGACAAGTTGATCGATGGAATCTTATTGAAGACCCAGATATTAATCTACACACATACAGACACCTGATATTTTACAAAGAAGCCAGAAATATATACTGGAAAGAAGAAAGCATTTTCAACAAGTGGTGTTGGTCAAACATGACGCCTGCTTATAGAGAAATGCAAATAGATCCATGCTTATCATACCCACAAAGCTCAAGTCCAAGTGGATCAAACACCTCAACATAAAACCAGATACAATGAACCTGATAGATGAGAAAATAGGGAATAGCCTTGAACACATTGACACAGGACATGAATTTCTGAACTGAACACTGATAGTGTAGGAACTGAGACCAACAATTGATAAATGGAACCTAGTGGAACTGAAAAGCTTTTACAAGGCCAAGGACAACAGGACAAAGCAGTAGCCTACAGAATGGAAAAGATTTTTACCAACTCTACATCGGACAGAGGACTTATTTCCAAATTATATAAAGGAAAAAAAACCAAATAATTCAATTTAAAAATGGGGTACAGATCTAAACAGAGAATTCTCAATGGGGAAATCTCAAATGACTGATAAACACTTAAATGTTCTACATTCTTATCTATCAGGGAAATGCAAATCAAAACTATTTTGTGATTTCATGTTACAGGTCTCAGAATGGCTAAAATCAATAACACCAGTGACAGCTCAGGCTAGTGAAGATATGGAGCAAGGGGAATGCTCCTCCATTTCAAGTGGGAGTGCAAACTTGTACAGCCACTGTGGAAAGCAATATGGTAGTTCCTCAGGAAGTGGGGAACTGATCTACCTCAAGATCCAGCTGTACCACTCTTGCACATATGTCCCAAGGATGATTCATCCTACCACAAGGACACTTGCTCACTTTTATTGTAGTTTACTCATAATAGCCAGAAACTGGAAACAACCTATATGCCCCTCAACAAAAGAATAGATAAAGAAAATGTGGTAAATTTACAAAATGGAGTACTACTCAGCTGTTAAAAGAATGGCATCATGAAATTTGTAGGCAAATAGATGGAACTAGAAAAAAAAATAACCTGAGTGAGATAATCCAGACCCACCTGAAAGGTAAGTATGGTTATGTATTCACTTATAAGTGGATATTAGCCATTAAATAAATGATAACTAAGCTATAATCTGTAGACCCAGAGAGGTCAGGTAAAGAGGAGGGGTCTAGGAGGAAATCATGGATCTCCCTGGGAGGGGGAGAATAGATTTTATGACAGATTGGGGAAGGTGGGGCCAGAAGCTGGGGACAGTGTTCAGGAGGAGATGGCTGGAACTGTGGGGCATTTGGTGGGATAGCATACAAATCTAGCACAGTAGAAACTTTCTGAAATCAGTGAAGGTGATCCTAATGGGGACTACTAGTAATGGGGGATACAGAGTTTCAACTGGCCATCTCTTGTAGCCAAGCAAGGATTCCAGTGATAGGATGGGGTTGAATTCAATAGCATTGTTAGGCAAGGGGGTCTCATGGAAGTCCATAGACAACCCAGGGTGTTCCTAAGTAAGACAAATGGTTGCTTTCTGCAAACTGATAGTAGGACCTCTTTACCAAGGACAATACCCACACAACTCATTGAACATGGAGAAGTCAAGCTGGTGCCTACATGGAGACTTCACCCCTACATTCTAGTCTCTTTGGTGTGGGAAGACACTCTGTAGGTTACAAAAAGAGAAGCATGTACACCAATCCAGCCACAAAATCTTTGACCTATAATCTGTCCTGCCTACAAAACATGCTAAGGCAATGGTGGCAAGAACTTATGAGAGTAGTAAACCAATGTCTGATTTGATTTACAGCCCACTCCACAAGAAGGAACCAAATAGCACCAGAGACTAGATAGCCTCGAGACCTAGGGTAAAACTCAACACTACTGGTCTGAAAAAAATCAATAAAGTGACTACTAATGATATTTTGCTAAACTCATAGATCAGTACCTTATTCATTGTCATTGGAGAAGATTCTTCTGGCAGCAGATGAGAACACATGTAAAGACCCACATTATGTGCAGAGAGTCTAAATGGGATGTTTCCATCAAATTTCTTCCCTTGGAGCTCAGGGAATATGTGGAAGAGGAGGCAGAAAAAGTATAAGAGCCAGAGGGGATGGAGAACAAGGAACCAGAGAATAAGGACCTCTGAATCAACTAAGCAGGGCACATATGAGTTCACAGAGACTGAAGCAGCAAGCACAGGACCTACATGGGTCTGCATCAGGTCCCTCTGCATATACACCATAGCTTAATATTTTTTATGAGACTTATGACTATGAGAATGAATAGCTCTTTTCCTCCTGTAGGGTTACTGTGTTCAACTTTCATATGATAATTTTTATCTTATTCTATTTTATTTTGTCATGTTTGGCTATTATCTCTTACAAGCCTGTTCTTTTCTAATGAGAGACAGAAAAAGAGTGGACCCAGAGGGGAAGGGATATGGAAAGTAACTGGGAGAAGTAGAGGAAGAAGCTATAATCAGGATATATTGTATGAAAAAATAATCTATTTTTAATAAAAAGAAAAAAAAACAAGGCAGGTTGGAAGAATACAAGTTAAGCTTTACTAAGTCTCTGTTCCTATTCATCTGTCTCCCTTTTTCTTGGATCTTGGAAAGTTAGGAACTTGAATTATCGTTTTTCTTTTCAACAAAAAATTTGTAATTAGGATGCAAGTCTACATGTTTAGTGCCTATGTATGTCTAGTATGCTACACAATTTGAGTATCTCACATATTTGGAACAGGGTGAAAAGTTGCATGCTGGAGACCCAATGTGCTCAGAGGTTTTCCCTGAAGGGCTGGAAGAAAACCAGCTGGAGATCATTATGTAAAGTGAAACAAACCAGATGCAGAAAGACAAACACAGCTTGTTTTCTGCAGGCCTAACCTAGATTAAACTGTGTATGAGTAGAAGGAGGCGGGGCCTGACATGTGAAATGGGACCATGAGAGGGAAGGAACAGATCTTTAAGGGGCTTGGGGAAAGGGTAATGAAAAACATGTAGCCAAAATGCAGAAGGGGGATAATCTGCGAAGCTCAGGACCTACAACAGTAGTGTTGGGAAGCTGTATGAGAGAGGGGACACACACACACACACACACACACACACACACACACACACACACACACACGTGAAACTATACACATAAAAGTGCTAAAGCAAATCCATTAATTTATGTACTAACTTCAAAAGTAAATAGGGAGGGAGAAAGAAAACAAACTGATGAAGCAATGGAAAGGTTGCCTAGCATGCTCAAGGGCGGATTTCAATCCCTAACACTACATGAAAACAAAACAAGCAAATAAAAAAGAATCAAGACCAGGATGCTCCTTCAATGTTTACTAAGAATCCGTGGATTCTTTTATTCAGCGAGCATACCACTGTCAAAGTGAGGTGAGTGCGGCTATCTTTCTTATTTCCCAGGAAGGTTGCAGTCCCTGGTGAAAGTTTGTTTAGAAAACAGGAGTTCAGACCCCCCCACGATGTCCTCTGGGATTCATGCAAATCACAAACCCAGAGTTCTTGGGAGGACTTCCCGAATGAGCGAGGCTCTTAGCCAGTCCATACATGCCCAAGTGCCTCTTCTTGAAATCTACCACAGCTTCTCCACAGGATGGCTCCAAAGCCTCTTGACCTGAAAAGGAACTTGGAGAAGGGGCGTGACCGAGAGCGGCGAGGTGGAGCCAGCGAGTTTGGATCCTTGAGAAAACTCAGAAAAGTGCAAGGGCATTGGGCACAAAGCTCGGCTCAGGCTTGGCTTAGGGAGTTGAGAAGCAGGTTTCAGAGGAGGTTGCCCATAGGCCAGAGACACAGCAGTGAGCACAGATGGGTGAGGAGCCCCGCAGGGGGAGAGATGGGCGGGGTCCTTTGGGGGACTGGGAGGGCATAGCCAAGGGGCTGGCCTATTCTGGTAACCACAGGCGGTGACCCTGGAGATCTGCCCCAGATCAGATCCTCATTTCTCAGGAGAGCCAGCTCCAACCCTGGCCATGCTCGCAGCCGCGGGCTCCCTGGCGGCCGCCATCTGGGCTGCGCTCCATCTCCGGACTCTGTTGCTGGCTGCTGTCGCCTTTCTGTTCCTGGCTGACTACTTCAAAAACCGGCGCCCCAAGAACTACCCGCCGGGGCCAATGCGCCTGCCCTTTGTGGGCTGCTTGCTCTATTTGGACCTAAAGCAACCCCACATAGCCGTACAGAAGGTAGGAAGGGGCGAAGGTGCCTGGCTGTGTCCTGGGACCGGATCCTGACACCTGGAACGGGAGGGCGTGGTTGTAGACTGAAGCTGGCAGCCTTTAACCCAGAGATAAGATATTCAGATTCCAAAGAGCTGGAGATTTTATTATCTGTCGATGTAAGATTTCCAGTGTGATTTTATGGCCAGAGAACATACTGTGTTTTATTTTAGTTCTTTTAAGTATGTCAAGGTGGATTGGATGGCATAATAATTTACCTTTATAAATATGCCATGCTAGTTTAAGAAATGGGGCGCCACAGTTGTTGTTTAGAGTACCAGTCCAGTTTTTTTTTTTTAATATATGATCTCCTTTTGACCTGTATAAATATCAGTTCTCTTAATTTTTTCTATTGAGCCTAATTTGGTCCTTCTACATCCTTGCAGACTGCTCACCTACTGATTTTATCAACTCCAGAGAAAGATGCACTGAAATCTCCAGCTCCACTGGGAGTCTGTCTGTCTGTTTTTCCATTCAGTCTAGAAGCTCTCCCCTTGTATTGGAAAGACTATTGTGGGTACATAGGACACATGTAAGACTGGCAGCTCTTTCTGGTGAATGGCCATCTTACCATGTAATGTGCCTCTTTATCCACAGTCATTTTCTTTGCTTAGATAGTCAGATACTCTGGCCATGTTTGATTATCCCTGTCACTTTCCATTACATGTGAAGATTGTCCATGCCGGATTATTTATCGCTATTTAAGGGTTTAAGCCCATAATTTTTCTACTTTTTTTCCCACCTCTTTTCTTCCATTTCCCCTTCCCCGTGTGTTTCTTGGACACTTTCTGAGTAGATGCCTTTTCATCCATCTTCTCTCTCTTTACACCTATTTTATTGTCCTCCAGTCACTGCTCTGTGTTGGTCAACACTCCCATGCAGCTCCTGAGACTTTGCTAACACCTTTTTCATGTGAAGTGAAGCAGCTACAAACAGGGAGGAGCCTTCCAAACAGGGAGGAGCCTTCTCCCCTCTGGGACACACTGCTCAGGTGTTGTCCCCACACTGAGACCCACACCAGACACTTCAGTGTCCAGTGCTGCAGGAACTCAAAGGCAGAGGAGTCTGTTGTCTTTGTCCCTTACTCACCCTCCATTGCTGTTTTTTTTTTTCTGCCCTTTCAAGTTCAGTTTCCTTTCTGACCTCAATCACTTTCTTTCTCCATTCCATCAGAGGAGGCCATGGAATGCGGCAAAGGAGAACTGAGCCCTTCTGTTGGATACCTCTGTTGAAGCTGGATGTGACTCAGAAGGACAAAGGGCTAACTCTTGATCACACAGCAGGCAGAAACTTTGATACTGCTTACACACTCTCACTCAACTCTGTTTGCACAAGCTTGCACATTCTACACCATCATGGACATTCTCTTCCCTTCTCTCTGTTTCCCTCTTCACCCAGACTCTCCACCCCTCACACTCGGGCCTGCTTCCCATTCTGTAACTCTAGCTAAACTCCAAGGTCATTTGGATATCTCAAAGTCATTTTGTCTTCCTCAAACATGTAATGTCCAGAGATTCCCTCCACCAAGCAACACTTTGTCTTCTTGGCTCCACTGCTTCTCATACAATTTGTTTGCTGCCTTATTGGGAAGATATGAAATGCTCATTATAGTGAGGAGATTCACAGTTGATGAAATAAAGCATGAGCAATCTCATTCCTTTACTCAGTGAGCACTACTATGACCAGGGACTCACCTTGCACCTTCATCCTCATCATCATGATTTTGGTGTCCCACATGCTTTGCATATAAACAGCTGGCTAATTTCTCAGAGATGCAGAGGGTGGCTGAGTGCCTAGAAAGAAAAAAAAATGAAGTGATTTTCACATTTCTACTATCATTCTTCTTTATAGAACCCAATGGAGGGAGGGATAATTTTTTACCTTTCATACTAAGATTCTAAATTTCAAAAGATAGAGCAACTTCCCCAAGAGCACAGTTAACCACAGAACCTACATGCTTACATCACTCCAGAGATCTTGGGAAATCTCCACTCCCAGTCTCCACCCTTCATTGCACTGTCCATATCTAACAGGGTATGGGGAGGGCACACTCTCCTCTGGCTAAATAGATATTTTAATTTATTAATCATTCATGCTTGCTATAGTAGACTTTAAAGACACATTTGGAGCCTTTGGCAGGTTAGGAACATAGTACTCTGCCTCCACTGGCCTCCAGGATGCTTCAGTTTAGAAATGTTGATTTCTTTAAAACACTTAAGATTTCATAACCTAGTCTAGGGACACACTGATGCTCATTCAATTAATATTGACTGAACACATGAGTAAAATTTTTTGAAGAAATTCTTAAAGTAGACAGGAGAAGAAAAAAATCAGAAACATTCTCATCGCACCAATATGCCTGCCCCCCACACAAATACACAGACTTCACTCAGTGTTAGTTGCATTCGTCATGCAGGAAACTTCTGTATATAGCAGATGTTGAAGTAATTAGTCTCTGGGTAAATATGGATATTTTTAAAACTACACCAAACATGGACAGACCTTCCTTGGCCTTTTCCCTCTATTCTCCGACTTCATTAAAATTCAGGATGCTTTCAGGACTTTGCTTATTTGTTGCTACACATACCCTCATGCCTTCCTCTAGAGAAATAGGGCAGTTGCATACCTAATTCATATTTGCTGAATTCTCTAGGAATTTTGTAAAGGGAAATTTCTATTCTTAGTGTGTATTGAAATTGAACTTAATATATAAGAAGAGAAAAATTTCCAAACATTTACACAGAGGAAGATCATTGCCTGCACTAACAGTTTTTGTAGACATCTCAACATGAGTTCCATTGGCTATACACATGCCTGTCATCTGTGGACACACAAACATGGGCTCACTCAACTGTAACTACTGAAATATTTTTCAGTTTGTGAAGAAATATGGGAATATTTTAAGCTGGGAGTTTGCTAATATACCCTCAGTGGTTGTAACTGGCATGCCCTTAATCAAAGAAGTCTTTACTCAATTGGAGCCAAATTTTCTGAATCGTCCTGTCACTTGTCTCCGAAAACATCTCTTTAAAAATAATGGTAAGTTCCTTGAGCAATATATGCTGTGCATTGTAATTCTTATGGTATGTTAAAGGTGCCTGTCTATAACTTGTCAACACTCCCATAAACCAACCCCATCATGAATTGCCATCTTTCAAGGAAGCAGGATACCACAGTCCCTGAATGGAAGCACCCAGTGGAGGACTTACCAAGTCTCTCTTCGAGACTTGGGAGAAACCACATGTCCTGTACACTAAACCTTGATGCTCTGATGGAATGTCCAGGCAGAGATACTATGCTCTCACTTCTATTTTCCCATTCCAACCCTCTGCCCTAGGAAAATAGATGTGAGTCAGCATCCCCTTGATACTGCTTTTCTTGATTATGACTCCTTGTACTCCATTATTAAATGACATCACCCAGTTGTCTTTAGCCTTCTGGACAATACTATAACAGTCTGGTTTGAATACTTATTATTATCATTTCAAAAGTAACAATTAGGAGGCAAAGACTTATATGAAAAGGACTTGAGGATTTCTCTGAAAGTGTCCTAATTGACAGAAGCATTCATTGTATATGCCTTGATATTGATGGGTGCTGAGTACACTAGAATATTCTTCCCCCATACTTCTAGGCTCTCTGTGTGCCATACTCATTCTTTCTACCTTCTTGAGTCATTTATTCATTCTTTACTGTGTATCTTGTCTAGAACCTCTTCTATAAAACTTTCTTACCTCGTTAAAAGAGCATGTTTTATCTTATCCATGAGTGCATTCCTGTTATATGCTTAACAGGAATTTGTGCGATTTGTGTGATTGATGAACTTTGGAACTGGAAAGACTGAAACTTAAATACACAGCTGCTCTCTACCAACTACATTTCTTTGTAAAGTAAACTTTATCCCAGTGTTTCAGTTTTTGCATCAGGTGCAATGGGCCTGGGGATAATTGTTAATAAGCGTATGGAATTTCTGAAAGTGCTAAATAATGTAAAACATAAGGTTTACTAAGTTGTTTGATGTTTTAAGTAACCAGTACATCTTAATTCCCTTGCTTTGGGATTGTCACTGGCCTGTCTATATTGTTACTGGCCTGTCTCCTTCCCATGGTACATGTACCATACCATTTGTCAGGTAATTTTAGATCAGAATCACAATACTATAATGCTGAATCTCTTCTTTCCAGGGTTGATCTTCTCCAGTGGCCAGACATGGAAGGAACAAAGAAGATTCGCCCTGATGACACTGAGGAACTTTGGATTGGGAAAGAAGAGCTTAGAACAGTGCATCCAGGAGGAATCCCGACACCTTGTGGAGGCCATAAGAGAGGAGAGAGGTGGGCATTTCACAGGGCAGGTGCTGTGGGTTGTGGCCTTGTACAACATATTCTTACTAAATGTCTGTCCTGGGCTTGCTCAAGCCTAGGTACTGAAGCCTGAGCAGTGAACTTATATCTATGACTCTGCCCTAGAGGGCTGTAACCTAACGAACAAAATGGGTTATTAAACATTTCTTTTAAAAAAAATTAAATCCTGGTCATCAATCTGACTTTACAGCCATTGACAGAAACCTTAGATCATGTCAGCCCATGTGTGTGCTGTGGCCAGATCCCATTACTTTGCATTCTCCAATATTTATATAGGGGGAGGGGCAGCTGGAGGATTGTTTTGTTTTGTTTTTTATAATTTGTAGTTATTTGTTTATAGACAATAGAAATAGAAATATCTTTAAACAACTCAGCTCTTTCCCCACCTCCAGGACAGCCTTTTGACCCTCACTTCAATATCAATAATGCAGTTTCCAATATAATTTGCTCTGTCACCTTTGGGGAGAGATTTGAGTACCAGGACAGTCAGTTTCAGGAAATGTTGAGGCTACTGGATGAGGCCATATGTTTGGAGTCATCAGTGATGTGCCAGGTAAGCACTCGACCTTCTCATATCTTGGGAAGGGTATTAAAATGGGACTAATTAGAACAGGCTCCTCATTTTTGTATTTTAGGACTTTTGAAGTTAAAATATAGTATCTTAGAATTGAGTTTAACACAGATGTATTCAAGTCTATCTATTGATTTTAGTGTTGTTGATAATACGCAAAACTCTTGCATGAGAATAACCACATTTCTAATACTTAAATGAAGTACCAACATTTGCTGGATGCCCATGCTGGTGGCGGTGACTCACCAGCTCAGCTTATTTGATGTTCTTCTGTCTGTGCTGCTCTTTGTTAAGCTGAGACTAGGGTTGGCCAAATGTGTGACTATCTGTTAGTAATTCTTTCTCCATGTTTAGATTTTTGAGTTGTTTCCAAACTTGTGATGTCAATAACGTTGCAGTGGATATTCTGGTACAAGTGTTCATGTGAACCCATTCAGCTCATTTATCTAGAATTTGCATCTGCACATAAAACATAACTCAAAGTTCAAAATTGAGTCCTATTTTTACGTTGCAATCAACACTTGGTACTGTGAATCTTGTGATTCATAAGCAGATATACAGTTTGGTGTTCAAACTTCACCCCCAGCTTGGGCAGCCTATGTCCAAATTTTTGTTCCTTCAATCCACAGAGTCTTCCAAATATTTTCCACAGCTTACTGGTGTCTCAGCCATATTCCTAGATGTGAAAGACAGTTTTTTTGTTTGTTTCTTTGTGTTTTGTTTTTAAGAGACAGGGTTTCTCTGTGTAGTTTTGGTGCCTGTCCATATCTCACTCTGTAGACCAGGCTGGCCTCGTACTCACAGAGATCTGCCTAGCTCTGCCTCCTGAGTGCTGGAGTTAAAGGCATGTGTCACCACTGCCTGACTAGGAAGACAGTTTTAAAGGAAAATTTATTCCTGACATTATTCACCTATGTTTCCTAGAAGTCATGTGGCTACCTTGGTATAGACATGTGTGGGGTCGTGTATACATCTGTACTTATTTAAATGATGTGTTCTTGTACCATTTTCCTGGCATCAATTACATGTCATTATTAAAATGTTTTAATTGCTTCAGTTAAAAAGGGCACTTTAATTTTGCAAACTGCAAGATCATGTAACAGTAGGAAACATAATTAAGATCTATTGTACATGTATGAATCAGGTCCAAAAAGTGTCAGCACACAACCAGTCACACTTCACTTATATAATTGTCCCACTACTGCCTCTGACCTGGAGTTACAGAGCAACTGACAGGCATCTCTGTTATAACTGTGCTGGTTAGAGCATCTAATGTGCTAAACTTCCCTTCTACAACCACAGGCTTATCTCTGTCCATTGCAGGTCTATAAACTTTATAGTTTTAAAAGTGGTTTTCTTTTAGATTAATTTAGATAGCAAAGGGTATCATCACAATATCTTTATACATGTACCACTGTAATTTTTTTTATTGCTTCCTTTCCCCAATCCAGCTAGTTCCCATTCTCCCCAATTATTCTTAGCTCTGCTTTCCTATCATTTGTACTAATGGTATCCTTTACGTGGATTCTATTTTCACCTCCCCTTAAGTTCTCTTCCACTCTCCTTTTCCTTGCCTCTCCAGATCTCCCTTTTAATTTCCTGACCTGTAAATGCAGGAGTCTTGTTGCCTTGATTTTCCATGTTTCTTGTATTTCTTTTTTTTCCCCATTTGTCTATTAACTTTAGTTTATGTGTATGATTGTTTTGCCTCCTTGTATGTAAGAGCACCACATGCATGCGGCAGCTGCTATGTAGGTACTGGGAGTCAGACTCTGGTCCTCTGGAAGCACAGGTATACCAATGTTTTCTAGAAGTCATGTCTTAACCTCTGAGTTCTTAACCTCTGAGCCATCTCTTCAGCCCATTTCTTGTATTTCTATGTTGTAGTTTTTGCAGCTGTTGGTTTGGGTATGATTTCTGGAACTTTTTAATTCATAATACCTCTCTGTGAGAAGAAAACAAACTGTTGTAGCAGCAAAAACTTCATATCTTGAAAAATATAAAAACACATAAATTCAACTGTAGCTCCTTAATATATCATGAGTAGCTATAGAACTGAAACAATGTCAAAACTACTAAATGTGCTACAAAGTTTCAAAATTATTTAATGTAATGTTAAAGTAATAAATGAATGAGATACCTAAAGGTGACAGGGAAGGGGAACACAAAAATAAGGTAAAATAATTTAAGGGAGAAGCAGGGAGGAAAAGAATATTATACACAAGGAAAAATTAAAATAGGGGAGGGACAAAAATAGATTTAACATTAGTTAAAAAAAAGTTCAAGAGTCAATGTAAGAAAAGGAATAAAAAGTTTAAGGTGTAAGTATTATTTTTTAAAAGCCAATAAGACAAATTCAAGATATGAATATAAAGGAGAGAATAGGATGCAAATAAATAAATAAACTAAAGAAAAGAAAGTCTATGGCTAAAAATGAGAGGCATGAACATAACTAGATGAATGCAGGAAAGAGAGTAACAGGAGTGTTGAGGAAAATGGCTCAGCACATGAGGGTTCTTGCTGCCAAGTCTGACAATGTGTGTTTGATCCTGGGGATTCACAGGGTGGAAGAGCAGAGCCATGTTCCTCAGGCTGTCCTCTGACCTCCACACGTGTACCATGACACACGAGCATAGGTGTACGCACACACAAAATAAATAAATAAGTACATAAATAAACGTAAAATTATTTTATTTTAAAATTTTTAAGTGAAAATGCAGCAAAAAAATTCTGCTGAATGTGTAGAAAAATAATGACTCACATGGAAAAAGAAAAAAAATGTTGAATCAGCTTTGCAGGGCTTCAAAAACTAAAGACTGTAATTTAAATACTTGGAAAATGGCAAGTGAACTCATGGGCTTTTGTTGGGCTTTTTTGTTTTGTGCTATTGCAGAGTCTGATATCTACCAGAATTTTCTCCATAGCACAGCTGCCATTTTCTTATTGACATGTTAGGAGCCTCTGCTGGACACACTGAGCTTGCATTCCGGGGAGTGGGCATAACCTTTCACCCTTCCACGATTCCTCAGGTCCTACCCCGTGGGTCTCTTTTGGCTATGGATGTCTCCCAGGTCTATTGGGAGTTGGGGAAGCAACCATAGCACTAAGTCAGTATACACTGGGGAGCTGCCTTTGTACTTTCAGGGCTCCCAATTACCCGATGAAGGAATGCACCATGGGTATCCTGTGTATCCCTAAAACTCTGGAGTTCTCTTGCTCAACAACAGTGAAAGAAAACTGGAGCATGTGTTCAGATCACAGCTGTCAAACTCCAGGGTTATTATCAACTGATGAGCGCTGTTCTAGCCCACTGAGGGTGGGGGAATCCTTTTATGCACTTCCCAGCCTGATCCAGCCTCTTACTGTCTGCCACACTTTAGCCTGTTTGTGTTAGGTCCTCTTGTCCACAACTTTCTTTCTGGACCATCTCTCACCCAGAGGTTATAGTGGAGACCCCTTGGGATTCTCAGACTCGTGAATGCTTCATGATCTCAGCCCTTTGTGCATCTCAGATTTAATAATTGATTGTCTCTCAAATTGGCACTCAGCTGCTCCCCTTCAAATCAAATAGCGCCACAAACTGGTCATGTGTCCACTGGCCCATTGACAAAAAGAATCAGTATAACCAAAAGCTGTGCCTGCAGGGACTGTGAGCTGTTCTGTGTTCTGAGAGTAAGGCTGCCAATTTTCTAATGGCTGACCCTTTAGAAGAGACTTCTGAGCTCCCCTGCTTAAAGGGAAACTCCCTGATTGAGGTATGTCCTGCTTGCTCTTCATCTTTTCCTGGAACCTTTCCCTCCCTTCATGGGTTCCAGAAGCTTTTCCTCTATTCTCCCCGGGATAGAGTCTGCTTTTCTTGTCTGTCTTTGTCACTAGCTCTCAGAAACAACTTGTAGTACACCATATTACCTGGAACTCCGATTTTGTATTTTTTTACAGTATACTTGGATACACATAAATTTTAATGTTCTCTGTTCCTAGTTAGGAGTGTTCTTTATGTCTGTTACTCTTTTCCTCCTTCAAGACTATTTCATCACATGAGCTGCTCTGCTTTCCTGCAGTCTTCATCTGCAAAATCACTTTCTGTGTTTCATTTTTCACCTCTCCATACACCTCCATTTTAGAGGGTTCCCTGTAAACCAGTGGTCCTCAACTTGTGGGTCGTGACCCTTTAATGGGGTCACCACATCATGAGAAACTGTGATAAAGGGTTTCACCATTAGGAAGGTTGAGAGCCACTGCTAAACCAACATCAATTACCTATAAATGTACCAAACTTGCTAATCATTATCTTTTTATTAGAACACTTATTTATGGTGATATTTTATTTGTACTGAAATGTGATTTTAATTGTATGTTAATAAATAAAGTTGCCCGGGGGTCAGAGCTATTAGAGCCATAGCCAGAGCTTCCCCTCTCTCCTTTCCTCCAGCCCCTCCCCGCAACCTCAGCTATCCATCCCCCTTCCCCCACATCCACTTCTCCTTTCTCTTCAGAAAAGGCCAGACCTCCCATGGATATCAGCCACCCATAGCATATTAAGATGTAGTAAGACTAGGCACCTCCTCTCCTATTAAGGCTGGATGAGGCAACCGAGTAGGAGGGAAGGGTCCCCAAAGCAGTTAACAGAGTCAGAGACAGCCCCTGTCCCCACTGTTAGGAGTCCCACTAGAAGACCAAGCTACACAACTCTATCATGTGCAGAGGGCTTAGGTCAGTCCCATGCAAGCTCTCTGGTTGTCGGTTCAGTCTCTGTGAGCCCCTGTGAGCCCCTGTGAGCGAGGCCAGGTTAGTTGAGTCTGTAGGTTGTCTTGTGGTGTAGGACAACTGTTTTCATCCTCCCTAAAGTAATGCAAGATCTTTAGCACACCAGTTCTGGGTTGTTTTCTACCTTACTATCCTCATGTGTTTTAGTTTGTTCCTATTTTAACAAGATCATGTACAATTAATTGGTTGATGCATTCTCTTTTGGTCATCTCTCTTGTAATTAGAGCCTCTTCTTCAATTCAGTTTAGAGTGTTGAAGTCCTTACAAACTTGAAATGCCTGTGGAGGGTAGGGGTATGGAGTAAGAGTGAAACGGGGTCAAGATGGCTTCACTATCCCACTGGAAGAAAGACAAGAAAGGGAAAGACAAGACTGTTTTGAAATGTGGCACCAGGGTGTCTCCATGACTATCTTTTTTTTTTTTTTTCCAATCAGCTCTACAATATCTTTCCAAGGATACTTCATTATCTTCCTGGATCACACCAAACAGTTTTCAGAAACTGGGAAAAACTGAAATTGTTTGTTTCTGATATAGTTGACAATCACCGGAAAGACTGGGACCCTGATGAGCCAAGAGACTTCATTGATGCTTTCCTCAAGGAAATGACAAAGGTGGGGAAGATACCTGCCGTGTTGTCTTCTTCCTTCAGAGGAAGCAACAGTTTAATAGCTTCCAGTTGATCCTGCAGCATGTTTGCTTGAGCTTATTGGTTTGACACAGCACAGATGTGTTCCCGCCTAGCACTGCATGCTCCCAGTATGCCTGTTTGCCAGGCAAGCTTCATGTGGAAATTGTGAGAACTCGTTACTTTGCCTCTTCCACATTCTGCTGGGCACAGATACCTTTCTCCATGTCTCCTTCCTTCATCTTCAATGCCAAGACTGTAACTTCTATTTCTCCCTGATCACTATTTCCATCTTTATATCTCATCTCTTTGATTCTGAACTTTGATCTCCCTCCTGTAAGAATAACTGTATAACCTACCTTTTGGAAATGAATCACATATACAAGGTTTATTATGAAGTATCAAGCAATATGCACAGGGATGAATAGATGGACATCTCTGTGGATCATTACTTAATACCCTACAGGAAAATTAAATGAAAAGGGTATAGTACTTATTAGGTATAGAATAGCATTAATTCAGGATCATTAGGGTCATTAGAAATAGAGTTCATAGTCTATCTTTTTGTTTTTCTCTCTTAGCTTTTACCCATATGTGAATGAGCAGTACCATAAATGAAAGTAGCAATTAAACTTCAGAGTCCAGTTTTGTTATAAGTTGGTCTCGGGCCAGTTACTGACTCCATCTCATCCATCACTGCAAGATATAAACAATGTGCAGCTGAATGCAAGAGTTTAACATTTAGATGAGGCCTTCTGACGTGTCATAAAAGCCATCCAATAATGTACAAGGGGCTAGACAGCAACCAGTTGGATCTGTTTGTTACTTTTGTATCACTGTTATGGTATCTGACAAAAAAAAAAAAAAAAAAAACCCACAAGAGAGATTCATTTTCACTCACAGTTTTAGAGAGTTGGGTCTATCCTCACCACAGAGAAGGAATGACAAAGTAGCTAAGACCATGGTGGCAAAAACCCATGGTGAAGTTGTTCACATAATGGTGCATGAGGAATCAGAAACCAAGGCAAGATGCAGGGCCCTAATATAACCTTAAGAATGCTGCTCTAGTAGTCACTTCCTCGAGCTAGGTCCTTCCCCTTCCCCCAATATTATAGAATCTCCAAAGATACTTCAGACAACTAGAAACCAAGAATTGAGAAAGTGAGCCTGTAGTAATTCTGAAATTTCATTTCAGGTCCAAACCATATCACAAAATATACAGCCTTGATGTCACTGGGTTTACTGGTACACATCACTGGATTGATGCCATACTTGGATATATTGGATTATGAGTTCCTCCTCTGAGTAGGGGAAGAATAGTAATTTTTCATTTTCTCTTATTTTGTTTTCCTTAAATAATATTGATAAAAGCAATGCTGTTTTTTTTCCTTCAGAGGAAGCAGTGAATAATTATTTGTCATCTATAGGTGTTAGGCCATCAGTATTAAAATAAATCATAATAAATTTATTCTTCCAGAGAAAACTGGTAAAAATGATGTGTCATAAAAAACTAATTGATGGAATCAGAAAGTCTTGACTAGGAAAGATGAATAATGAGATCAGAGAATCTGAGACCATTGAGAATCATTTGATTCTTTCTGGTATCAACAAAAGCATTTGTTGAATATTAACTGTGTGCCTGTGGTATCTCATATGATCAATAATGACATGTTAA